TTTCTTTCACTACTTACTTTCCTCCCTCCCAGCCTGCATTTCACATTGCTGCAGTCTAGACTCCACATATAACTTTCTTTTTTCTATAGTTAAAGGAATTCGTAATCTCTTTAGCCACACTGACACACTCCCAAGCAGACAGTGTTCTCATCTTAACAACAGTAGTTTCCCTGAAGTTGAACTCAATTAAGAGGCTATTCCATAAACATTCCTATTTCCCTCACTTTTATTAAGACCATTTCACATCTTCAATGTATTATTTTTAAAGTCTGTTTCAAGAATTTCAATTTCATGCTACGCAAGCCAGAAATTATCATATATTTCACCTGTGCCATTTATGTGTCTCTTTATTGCTTCCCCTTATTTCCTTCTGAAAAAAGAAAACTCAGAAAATGGTCCAACATTGTACTACTGCCTATAGTAAAGGCAAATATTTCTTTTCCTGGACTGCTTTATAATCCAACAAAATTTCTGAATTTCCCTATTGATATATGGTAGGCTCAGCTCAATTGAGATAACAGTTTAAGAGGAACAAATCTCAGACACCACTTTGAGTGCTGCTACTTGTTACAGTTCATATTGTGAGGAGTAAATTCAGACTAAATTCAGACTACCAAAACTTATGAATGAGTGCTGCTACTTGTTACAGTTCATACTGTGAGGAGTAAATTCAGACTAATCACTACCAAAACTTATGAGTAATCAAGTGCAACAAGAGGAAAAAGTCTCTATGCAAGGTAAAGTTCCAGTTACAGGAGAGTCTCAATACGAATATACAACAAATGACTGTTCATCTAAAATTGTACTTGACCATGCGACCTTATGCATTTTTGACAAATAACCACAATGGATAATTACTTGTATGCAAGGGACAAAGACAGCTTGGCTGGAAAGCACTATGTGGTTTTAAATCTTTTTACTGATTATATCCTCTTCACACACATCCTAATCTGTTGCTCGATAAACTGCTGCTTTGTTGGCCAGGACTTCTCATGACTCCATTAGCCCTTGGAAGAAAGGGGAGCAGAACAAAGGCTCCCCGGTGCACAGCTCGGGCACGTGCGCATTGCTGCTGGGGAACAGCTCGTCCTTTCACCAACATTTTGTAAACTATTTCTTATGTTAGACATCTTACGGCTTAAGAAACGCTAATGCAGGCAACAAGCACCTTATTGGCATTGTTATGTGGCCTAACGGACCGAAATAACAACTTAAATATAATCAAAATAAAACAGGAATAAAGTTTCGCGTATCCTTATCTTCCCCTTCCCCCGACTCTCGAAAGACTTGAAACAACTGCATTAATGCAGCAAGCAATAGCTTGTAAAAGGATGCAAACCAGCTGAAACATTTGACAGACAGTGTTAAATACCAGAGGATTCATATCGACCACTTTATTTGAAAAGGTGCTTTGATGTTGGCTATCTTTCATGTACCTCTTTCATGGCACATTAATAAGGAAAACTGAGATGGGGTAAATTAAGTCCCAAGGTCATATCTAGAGTTACAGCACTGTGGGTACCTGATGAAATACGGATTAATGCTGCATGAGCACTGAATAAATAAAACCACTTCTGTTAACCACTCAAACAAGTTTTACAAGTAGTTCTGAACTTCATTCGGCAACTAGACTTCAGACATCTTAATCCCCCCGCACTGCTTTGAAATCTAATTATCATAATGTGAACCCGAATGTTAGGTCCCTTTCAAACTGTGAGTGCTATGAAGCAGAAAAGTAATGGGAATTAAGCTAGTGTAACATTAGAAATGTAGAGGCACGGAACTTGAAAGTGGCATTTGTTAAAGCTGGGAGAGGATAATGTAGATATTCAACAACATAAAACACATTAAAATTGAAAGGGATATTTAAAGCATGTGCAGACACCTATAAAGTACAAATGGACCAAAAACCCTGCAGAACAAACACTTCCAAACCCATTCCTCACCACCAAGTTCCAACTTCAAAAGGTATTAAACGGCCCTATTCTGCTTCAGCAGAACATTTCTAACTACGCTAAAAGAGACAATTTAAACATTAAAGAAAACCAAATGAGAACTTTATAAGACATTACAGATTTTCCCCAATTTGTCACGGTCCGCAAGTGTTTGAACTTAAAGAGCAGTAAATTATCAATTAGATTGCTAATAAAGCCTCAAGAGTCAGAAAACATTTTGTTGCAGGTGACAAAAGGATTTTGTATCAAGTTGAGAAAAACCATAAAACAAAAAAACACCAAGTCATCCAAAAACCAAAGACATACACTTGCCTCTCTCCACTCCTTCCTGCTTGTTGAACATCATCAGCAATTCACATAACCTATCAAATATATTCATTACAAGCTGAAATACTTTATTCTAAGCTTGGATTAATACAAGTAATTAAATAAATCTGGAGCAGTAAAAATGCTGGTATGCTGGCAATGGAAATGCTGAGGCAGAAAAAAGGCGATTTTATTTTTTGTAAACATGACTGAATTGTATTGTCCTACTCTAGCATAGCTCATCCATCATTCAGATAGTTTTCACTCCCAAAAAACCTAGAACTGACAGCAGTCAAAAACCAAAATTGCTGCAGTGATCTAAATGTGGAACAAGATTCCCATTTTTTCCTCAGGATTTCACTTTAATCCAAAAGGCTAACGAAATCCTAAAAGTTCATCATCTGCCATGTCAATGCTGACACACTGTTGTTTCATTTACATTTCTGGTCCTGTTAAAACAAATACACTTGTCTAAAACAAAACATCTGTTTTGGTTATAATACGCTGTATCTTTGGCATGAGCTCACAATAGAACTAACATAAATAATCAAGAATATTTATTGAACCTTGTAACAAAAACTGATTTGTAACATAAAACTTAAAGACTAGATATGACTGTCTCTGGGCTCTAGTCCAGCCCTAATCTAAGTCAATAAACATTGCTCTACAAGGGAAACTACATAAAAAAAAAGTTCTGCAGTTATTTAGGTTGGATGTAGGTATCTAAAAGATTGCGGGTTATAAAAATATTGAAAAAAATATTTGCTTTAAATCAAAAACTGTCAAACGGAGTCCAGAGAGTTTTTAAAGCCACAAAAAAGTGTGCCATATGCCTCATTTCCTATCTCTGTCTACACCATTTGTCTTCTCATTAGAAAAAATAGTATGGAGTATACACACTATATATTACATACCACTCTATGTACTACAGAATTGTCACTGATAGTATAGAATTGTTACTATTGATACTAGAAAAACACAAAATGATGACCGAATAAAACGCCTTGATAAAATAATAAATATCAACTACATGATTGCTAATTCATAATTGATTTATTGAAAATAAATATCAAATAAAACATCATGATGTTTAAGAGAGAAAATTGGCTTCCACAAAGAAAAAAATGTGCAATAATTTCTCAACACTGACACAGCTTAAGATATAGACGGCAGGTAAAAGAGGAAGAACAGACTTTATATTTTATATATCATATACATTTTTTATATTATTTTTCTAGAAAAGTCACTTCTAATCTCTCTCTCTACTTTTAGTAGTGTTTTTAAAGAAGCACCATCTTGCAGACTATTTTCAAATGAAGCTAAAGTCTGTAGCTCCTATCAGCTACCTGTCCTGAATGACAAGCTTAAAACATTGATTAGGATTTTGTTTTTAAAACAATAACACAATCTAGATTTATCTGCCAGGTGAACTTTATTTGGGGTCAAGGACATGAAGTCGAGTGTGATCAGCTATTCTCTGCACTCTGCATAGAGCAATGAATTGAGTTCAGCTCCACTAGGCAAAGATTTCTGCCTTCATGCCATTCAGTGCATCAGTGTGAGAGGCTGGACACTTGGTACAGTCTTAAACTCTAATAGAATGCAAGTGCACTTAAATACTTCCTTAAAAAAATAAATGGTATAACAACTAAATTCACTTGTAAACCAATATGCTCAGTGCTGCAACCAGCTGAAGCAGCTCTTCTTTCAGAATGAGTTGTTCCAATATGACTTAACTTGGTTTCTTACAGACTTTGAAAATCAGAAATTTCTGCAGTGGCTTGGCTCAATCCTTTTAGTTTGAATTGAGTGCACACATAGCTTTTCAGAAGCTTGAATGGTCTCTTTTCCTTAAGAAAAAAAATCTGAAAAATCCTATTATGTCTCTTGAAACAAAAAACAGATTGAAGCATCAATCTTGCTGCAAATTTATACCTATCATAGAAGTACAGTGCTATTAGATAATTTCACAGGAACATTTGTTGCTCTAAGGTAACTTTATAACCTACGGAGGACGGTCCATTAAAAGGAGCAGTAGTTTGAACAAAAATAATATATTTTTCAAAAATTTAGACAATGCATTTCAGTAAGCTAACACACAGTAGAAATTAAATATTGCTCCCACACAAATAGTAATCTAAGATTCAAGTCACAAAAAAGCTTAAGGAAAAAAAATGCAAATGCGAATGAAGAAAAAAGGCATTTCTGCATGGTAGAAAAGGGAGAAGGAAGCAATATCGGATAGCTTCAGTTCAAATGAAAAGCAGAATAGTTTGATTCGAGTGCAGACTCAACTAATGGAAAAAAATTGAAGTTGGAACAGGATAAATACCTTCACCTTTCTGCTGTGTATTAACAAAATACTTACTCGCAGACCTCTTTCTACTCTGAGGATTAGCAAGTATTCCATACCATAGAGAACACTAACATTTGCATTTAAACCACATTGATCTAGAAGGTAAACACACTGTACAAACAAGTCCTTGGCATAGATCTGCGCTGCAGGGCTGGCTGACTCTGTTACAGTGGTAATGGCAACAAAGTGAGCTCCAAGAGAAGGAATTTGAGTGTCCCGTACTACCTCCTGCTCCAAAGAGCTGGAGCCATTTTCCCTCAGCTAGGAGGAGTCAGCTTGACTCAGCAGAAAAAGATGAGGTGGCAGAAAGAACCACTTCAAAATTGTATTTAAAAATGCCTGTTAAAGTATGAAGAGATAAACATCACAGAAAGCAATCTTACCAGTAAACGACATCCAGCGGTGCAAAATATTTCTTCATAATTAAGTCAGCAAAGTAAGCTTCTGTTTCTCTGCAGGCTGTGCCATTGCCAATCACAACAGTGCTACAGCTTTGCACAGGGTAAAAAAAGAAAAACTTATTCTTTATTATTCTTTTTTTTTTCTTAAACAGACATTTTTTGATACACAACTGTTCCTTAGCTGAATATTAATTTCTGCTCCTAAAAATGAAATGGATCAGAGTTTTATGGAGATCCATTCATATCACACAGCTTTAGTCACAGTCCTCCTTTGATTTAACATTATTCTAGATACATAGCATAAAAGCATGAAATAAGACCTGAGCTACATGAAAAAAAAAAAAAAAACTATTAAATGCAGTAAGAAAGAATAGTAAGTGGAAGCTTCCTTAGCTTACTTGTACTGTAAAAGATGCCTCTTTATCTTCTCAGCTTCCCGAAATCCTTGACCAGAATGCAAGTAAACGACATCAGTATGGAGTATCTGACCTAGAACAATAAAAAGCAGAGTCGTTCAAAAAACAGAGATCCAAAAGCTATTTCCTATTTCCTGATGAACTACTAAAGTAATCTGATGATTCACAAATGAAGTTTTTCATAAGTCAAGTTCCTTTTCATTTTTATATCCTATTATAAAAATAATCATGGTGAGTGAAGGACAGAAATGATTTGGCTGCCGCAGCAAAACTGAGTTGACACTTTTCTAGGTCCCTGAAGACATATTCACATAACAAAAAATGAGCAGGTAGACACATTAAGCAAACAAAACAAATCATATTATCAAAGAGAAAAACAGTAATTCACTGAAATGGACTTATTGTTACAGCCTTGTGCATTTTATAGATCCATTAAAGAGATGAAAAATAGAGAGCCAGGTTTCGCTGTGCAATCCAAGAGCCACAACTCCAAAATGAAACGTTCATTTCTTGCCATAACCCTAACTATTGAGCTTGGGAACAATTCAGTATTAGCTGGTATTGACAACTCAAGGTACAATTAAGTTGGAGTTGTCACTGCAAACTAATAACTGTTTACTTTACCTTTATTAGTGTTTTAGCACACACAAATGACAATTTCCCTTCCTCCCTGCTGAGTGGACATATTCTCAGAGAACAGGCAAAGACAAAATACAAGGGATACAAGAATATCCCATGGATACAAGAAATATCTCATGGGTATATAGAAGATCTCCAGATCAGATGAAGGTGCAGTAGTAGGACTTTTTCCTACATCCGTCTAAAAATCAAACCTAGTAGTAGTTTTGCACATTAACACACATAAGACTAAAGAGGCTGATTTAAAAAAAAAGTCCAGATGTCCAAGATACTACCGATGGAAAAAAGCTAAGTTATAGATAGTAAATATTTAAATTTTTTTTTTGTTAATTAATACAAATAGTAAGTGTGCTCTTTACTGAGAGGCACAATTACTTGAACCTGTATTCAAAAGGGCAGAGAGGATTTTAACTTCTACTTCAGAAAACAATAAAATTCCAAAAGGGACACTGGATTTCATACACACAAAATTTAGCCTTAGGCTCAAAAAAGGGAATTTGCATGACAGCAAATCATTAGCAAATAAAACAGTAATTCTAAAAATCTGATTACAAAACCTGCCTTTTTTTTAAAAAAAAAAAACGACCATCCCTTACAGTAATTGAATACATTTAACTGTCCTTTCAGGACAAAAGACTATTCAGAATTGACACTTACTGGTTGGTGAAATAATAGCCAACTTGCAGCCATGTTTGTAGCCAGGATCTACTCCCATCAAAGTACGACCCCTGACAGGGCTGGTCAGAAGCAACTGCCGAAGATTTCTTCCAAACATCATCACAGACTCTTTCTCTGCATCAGATGTTAACTTTGATCTTAGAAGGATGAAAGCAGAAAACATTTTTCCTCCACTTAGCTTTCAAATACACTTTTGAATTGTTCCAAAGTTGTAAGCTTTTCCCAATAGGTCTTCATTACCTTCAAATAAACATTGCACTTTCAATGAAGTTTTTGACATTTTTTTAAAAGGAACAGTTATATGACCATCTCATTCTGATTCTAAGAACGTAAATGGATATTACAAGTATAGTAAAAATACCTCTAAGTCTCATAAAAGTGTGCACACATACCAGCTTTAATAGAAACATACACTCATTATTAGTTTTAGTGAAGAGCAGTTTCCTACCAAAGCTTTTATCTACTTGCAAAAAAAAAAAAAAATGGGTCTGAAAAAAGGCATGGGTCGAATTCATCGTAATTTCCCCATTCCAGAGAAATATCAGAGGTTAGGAGAAGAGGGATCATCACTTAAGACAGAAATGGACTAGAAAGAAACAAGAAGGCACTACCCAATTGAATAAGTCATACAGTATGAGCAAAAGACATCTAGTCTGGTCTATGAATTCTATTATTTAACCAGTATAACTGAAGTGCATTGATTTGCTCTGTGAGGGTGTTCTGCTTGCTCAGTAAAACACAAATCAGAGGTCACAGCTCATTATATTCCCTATCTTTCTCTCTTTCCATGTTTTTCAAGAGAAGGACTGGAAGTGAGACAGTGCACCAAGGATCAACTTGGGTGGCTTTAACACTGTGCAGGAAGCCCTCTCATTTCTGCGAGAGGATCAGAGTTTTAAGTGAAGGTGTACAAGATGCACGATGTCTTATTTGTCTCTCCAGTGATGAAATGACTGGAAAGGACAAGTATTTTTGCCATTGGATGACTTCTTACATAAGAACGCAAAGGGACAGAAGCGTGTATGGGATAACACATATTCTTCATTACCTGTTCTGTTTTGGTTTTAAATCCAGATATTGATTTTCATTTCCAACTGCACTTCATGGTCAATAACTAGGACATTTAGGCAAGCAGAAGCAGTCATAATTCTAACTCTATTCTTACCACTCCATTTTTTTTTTTTTTTTAAACCCACCACTGAAAGGAGTGATTATATTCAGATGTGGGAAGACTAAAGAGTCTGACTTGAGCGTGTCAAAGATTCAGTCATATACCCAACTTAGCTCCATCTCATTTCACAGTGGAAAAGCCGGATCTGGTAAGTCCTCATCATGTCTCATTTGTGAAGCGGATTAGAGACCCTCCTGCCAATCTGTGGTAAACGGTCCGTGTCTCTGACCTCTGAGTCATTCCCGGCTTGGGCTACGCAGCTGTGGGTGCAGACAGACAGGCTGCTGTCATCAGCGGGTGTCTGCGAGTCTGACAGCACTTTACGTGCAGCTGGTTCCACAGCCTCCCTCACAGCCAGGCCACTGTGCCCAGTCTGAAGGTCAGAGCAGCCAGGAGAATTAAAAATGATTTTAAAGAAACAAGCAAACAGAGGAATGACTGAAAAAACACAACAGGCTTCAGGACATATGGAAAAGTCTCAGAAACTTAACCACTTCACCCCTCTGTCCCACATACCACCCCCGCCCAGGTGTGCTAAATTTGTTTCATAACTTGTTAATGCTCAGCTGTTCTCTTCCATGAATTACTGATAGAGAATTTTCTAAGGAATGTGCAAAAGAATAAGAATTTCCTTCACCACCTCCACTCCCTCTCCAAGCATACTGTTTCTGTATGGATTATACTAAGTTAACACAGATGTTACTCAGAGCTAGAAGGTGAGGGGTAAACACGCATTCAAAGACTCCCTAGAAATTCAAATGTCCTCTCAACACCAAAGAACTGATGCCCTGGACATCACCACCACTAAAACCAAGAATATGTGAATGGCTGTGCTAGTTTGGACAACAACTCTTCACTCTACCTCAGTATCTTTTCTCCAACCGTGGCTATAAGCTATGGCTATAAGCCTCTCTACAGGAAACAAGAATAGCAGAAATAACAGCCCTAATATACCTGTCCCATGAACTTATTCTAGCCTCCAACTATTTCCAGCTCAGAATGTTTTCTAAGCTTGACATGGTTCATATCTCAAAAGTTCACAACCAATCTCCTGTTCAACTTGTAAGCAGTACTTTACAGTTATCTCCACTGAATTTCAGTTGCTATTTCATTGCCTGGTCATCCAGTTGTACAGTATCCTTCAGTAATGCATCATAGCGTGCCACATTCTTGAAGAGTTAAATAAAACTAATCCAAATCCCAAAGCACCTTCTTCCACAGGGAGCCCAGAGATATGGGCTGGAGGTGGTTGGTTCAACCAGTGTGTGTGGAAATGAACTTTTTAAGTGGACTATAACTGAGAATGGTTGAATGCTCTTGGACTGAAAACTCTGCATGCAGAGACAGAGCCCAAATTCTGCCTTTCATCCGTCCCTGAAATATGGGCTCCCCATGGCCACAAGGCCAAGTCTTCCCACACAGCAACTTCACATCAGTCCACCTGTGAAGGGAGTCTTGTGCAAGAATTAAATTTACTCCTAAACACATGCTATTAGTTACGTGCACCTTATGGAAGTCATGTTTGGAATTGGCATGGATATACAGAAGCTTTTATAGTAACAGGAAATGTTACAGAAAGTGCCAGGTGCGTGGGGGGAACATAACGAATCTCCTTGCTATTACATAATATCCTGTCTTTTTAATTTCAAATATAGACCTCTCTTTCCTCTCTAACTGCCTCTCACTCAACACTTGAAACAATAACATGATCTACCGTCCCAGGCACCGGCCCTTAATTCTAAGTTTTGGATGGTCATTTGATACTTGAACAAATATCAAGCTACCTTGGACAATGTAATATCCTTTTTCTTTTTTTCAGTGCATCACTGGCTTCATCCAAGTGGCAAGATGCCCAGCTTTGTGTTTTTCCAATTTATGACAGTTCATGTTAACATTACGGAGATATAAGGCAAAGGAGAATAGTGGTCCCCATCTTTAAACACAAGAACAATGATTTTTTTTTTTTTCAAAATAAAGTTCCACACTCCTCAGTTGCTATGTTATGAAGAGTACTGACAAAGTCACAATTTCAGGCCCTTCTCTTAAAAGCCCAAAAGGCACCCATGCATCAGATCATCAACAGCTGTATTGCAACAGAAGCAAACAACCCAATGACTATTAGATTCTACGAGCACTGTTAGAAGATTCCCTTTTCAAACGGAGATTTAGAACTCCTCACTTCCATGTACAATCTGAGATGCAATCCTTTCCATGGAAAAATGTCTGCAAACTAGCTTCAGGTGTGAAATAAGATATACAGAGAAATGTTTGCGTCTCTGCAGACAGAGAAGAAAGTATTCCCTTGGAGAAAGCATGGAAAATTAGGGAAGGATTATCCATTAAAAAAAATACGTCCATGTCACTTCGCTTGTATCAAATCCTGATGGAATTATTCCATGCAGTACTGCAACAAAATAAAATGTATTCCAAAGTGCCAAAAGCAATACTGGACATTATTATACCAGATATGAGAAATAATGGTGTCCCGCAGAGAATGGAAGAAAGGAAATTAAACAATAAATAAGGTAACTGTCTTGCTGGCAAGTTTTATCCTTTTGATCATCAGAATTTTCAATGCACTCTTGGAAACTTTCTGCTCCAGCATTTAATAATTAAAAAAGGGCAGGGGGTGGAAATACTTAGGTTAAAAGGAGATATTAAGTACTTTAGCAGTCCTTTGCTGATACTCCTAAGAAACAGCTTCTGCTGGGAGAGAATAAGGAATAAAAGAAGGATAAGGGTTAAGTGCTCTAGGGCCAAGAATACAACTGGCAGGTGTTTTGCATTCCTCTCTATAGGAGATCTGTTTCAGGGCTCATCTCACATCACTTCATTCCTGGGCTTTTCCTAACTAGATACTGCCCATCGTGCCAAGTTATCACAAAGACTAAAACACAAGCAGATATGGACTCCTCGGAACAGGCAGCAAGCTTTGTTTTCATTTCATTTGAGCTTTGTATTCTTTTCATTTGTGAGCTACATCCAGGAAGGAAGGGAAGGAAGGGAAGAACTTCAAAACAAAAAGAAACTCAGAAAAATCTGCAATAATTGACCACTGCAGTAACCCCTTAGTGTAATGAAAATACACACTCCAATTTCAAATTTTTAAAATTTGAATTCAAAGAAGAAAAAGGTGTTGACCAAAACAGACCTGTGGTAGGAAGGATGAGGCCAAAACACAAGAGAAGCAGCTTGAAGAGCCCATATATCTCCCCTATTCTCAATGAAGCCAAACACCACTAAAAAGGCAGATCATCTGCCTAAAAGAGCCTGATTCCCAGAAGCCTGAATAACAACTGTCACACATTTGACAGAAGGCAGCGCTTGGACTCACTGTCATGAGATATTCGGCATTTTGGCCAAACAGTAGTCATGTCACCTCCCCTAGGTAGCCACATGCACTAAGGTCACAAGGAAGAATGATCTCAACACTTCGAAAACCCCCAAAACTCATGACAGCTAAAACCAGCCTCACCATGAGGGTGACCAGTCAAGGCAGTCAAAGCAACCACTCCTGTAAAGTACTGCACAAACACACCGTATTTTAGCGAAACAACCCAAAGGCCATTGGAAGTATCTACTGTTGAAAGTTTTAACTGCCACTTCCTTTGGATGGGGAAAGGCCCCAGCCAAGCATGCTCGTGAGAGCAAGTGCCAGGAGCAGGGACCAGGATTTTAGCCTGAAGCTAAAATGTTGATGTTTTGGGAGCTTCTCTGGTGCTCGTAACACAAGAACCCCATTGGTAGGCAGCTTCACAACGCTCTTGCCAGATGTTCTGGGGGAAAGAAAAGGCCTCTTCTTCACTAAGGAGAAACAAAGCTAGTTTCATTTTAGGTACCAAGATTAATTCAGAGGTGCAGAAAAAAAGTGGCAAAACAGACAAGGAAGTGGTAGCAGGACCATGCTGGCCACTCTCTCAGAGGAAGATCTTGCTACTTTGGTCTTCCCAGCTTCCTGTCTTACGGAATATGGGAAGTGCTGCCATACTTCAGCACAGCCACAAGGCAGTTTGTTGGGGTTAATTTTATAGCGCTGCATTTTGACATTTAACGAAAGCCTCATCCCTACGTCCCTGAAGAGAAAATACGCTCCCTCAGAGTATATAAAGGAATCGTTCTTATGCAGTAATTTATCACAAGAAATGTACTAACAGTATTATTTCCATTTTAGAGAAGATATATCCTCAGCATATGGTTTTAAGTGTTTCAGTTAAAGCCATATAATAAACCAAGAACATTCCCAAGATCGTTGTCTGCATAGCTGAACAAGGAGAAATCCCGATCTTGTGAAAATATAAAGAAATCTGACTAATGCAGATGAAGCCTTGCCAATATAAACAATAAATGGTATATTTTTTTTCTCTCCTCACAAGGAGACTAGCCAAGAAGGAAACTTCATATGCAAATTAAGTCTGATACCATACCTCATAAGAGAAATAATGCTTCTAGAAAGTAGGTTTTTTGGTAAATTTGGTAAACATATGCTCCTTTAAGAAATTAACTCCTCTACTTCACCATGCAAATGCACTATTTAACATTACTTTGACACTGAGGTTTTTATTTTTTTTACGTTTTGAAAAAACAATATTAAGCATCTTATATGTAACACTTCATCTAGTGACACTGTTACTACATTATCCGTAGAAATAAGATTACTGAATTCTCTAGAGAAGTTTCAATATCTATGGAATAGCATCAGACTAACATTATGGCTATTATATTTATCATGAAATGGAAATGACAAATACAAGAGACACTTCCAGCCCCCGCAGTTGCTCTGTCAGTTCCTTGTAGACAGACAGGTAGAAATGAAGCCAGAACATAGTGCCACTGACACTGTTCTTGCAGTGACATGAGCAGATCCTGGGAAAACTCAGTGGCATAATGGTAAATGCTAATATGAGGATAATGATGCAACTGTAATGTAACTCTAAATTGCACTTCATTAGATAGATGTACTGTCAATACCACAAGAACTCATAAGTATCTCTTCTTCAGTAGCCAGAGATCAGGTATTTGTCCCTGGCAAGTAATGCAAAAAAAGGAGAATATGGACTGTGAAAGGGTGGAGATGGAAGAGTCAGTAAAAAGAGCATATTCTAAAAGTATCAAACATGCTTATTATTCTGTGACTTCATAGAAACAATTTATTTATCTCAGTCCAAACTGGACAGGGACACATAAGAAATCAATAGCACCAAGATTACAGGGTTCACTTCTTGGGAAAACACACATTGTCAAAAATGTACTATTTTCAAATATAATAGAAATTCTAACAAAAGACAGAGAGAAATTAGGAAAACAACATGAAAATAAACATTAATTCTGCACTTACCTGAATTCTCTACAGAGGAGAGGATATATAAGGCGCTTATATGCATCCTCTACTGAATTCTGTAGTATCCTCATTAACTCTGGTTTTGCAAATTGTTTTGGTCTCCATCTGTATTCCAGTAAAGAAACATACATTTTAAGCACACATGCAAAAAACTCAGATAAAAAGAGATTTTTCCCAAAAAGTCTTCTACATTGCCCTATAAAGGGCAGATTTACCATGGCTTTTACATAATGAAGTCATAGGTTCAATCATGAACAGAATCACACATTAATGTGGTCCTTGTTTTACTAGAGCTCAAATAATGTTTTATGTTTTACAGAAAATTCAAGGAACATAAATTAAATCTTACTCTTCACTTAGTTCTCTAAGTGCAAAACTAACCACAACTGAAAGAAGTTGGTTCCATATTACCATGACATTTGTCTTGATTGCTACTCCTCGACACTTAAAAAATGACCAAACATCCTCTACCAACCTCACTAAAGTCCACACAGAAATTCAAGTGCTAAAATAGTGACAAATAATGAATGCAATCCAAATAGAGCCTCTATTCAATTTGACAATAAAACCTATCAATTTTGCGGCAGTACCTGTTCAAAAAAAGTCAGTTTGCAAATTTTTTTTTTCTTTTACTTTTAATAGATATATTTAAAACATAAACAATATCCATATATTCCAATTATTATTATTCAAATAATAAACAAAAAGGCAAAATGGAACCAAAAAATACCAAATAAACCTAGCATATTTTAAGCCAAAGGCTTTTGAGCATTCCCTTCTTTAAGGATAATGTGCGGAGTGGTCAGGGCCACAATGACAGTTAGTTAAATTTTGTTCTCTGTTTCAAAATTCCCCAGAATGTAGATCCCAGGCACCCCATTACCCTTTATCTTTTTCAATGGTACCATGGGATGGGGGAAAAAAAATATATACAGAAAAAAAACACACCTCTGAACTTTTTTTTTTTTTTAAATCTGGGTAATTTCTGTAAGACTTTGTTAAAATGTGACATGATAGAATTCTGGCCATCTAAAAGCATGCCCAGATGCAGGCCCAAGCAAAAACAGGTCTGAATTTCACTCTTGGCTTGTTTACTTGTACGCAGCTCAGAAATAACGTGAACTCTAAACTGTTCCTGAAAGCCAGACTGAACCCTAAACTGAAAGCTGTCCACACAGCTTTCATTTTTTAAAGGGATCTACAATTTCCAATAACACCCTTTGCTTCTATAAATGTCTGCATATATAATAGTTGAGAAGGGTGTGATCAGGTCAACACTGTGTTTAATGCACGCAGACACGGGAGCAGAGTCAAGCCTACCATTTAGTTTTACAACTTCCAGAGCTCCGAGCCACATGACCTCATCGCTTCGCTAAGAGCCTTTGCTAATAGCTCTATGATACCTGTTAGTGACTGGAGCCTTTTTCCATCCGTATGGAGACCGCCAGAAACTATAATTCCCCTTATTGTCCCACAATCCTGTAAACATGACATTTTCACAGGTGTGAAGTTTAACTCAATTCCCCCAGGAAGTATCCTCAGCATATACAGGAATTAATTTGGAAAGCAGTTCCCCTCTCTCTTCCACCCATTAAAGCTAGATAGTAAAGCTTTTCTCAGCACATAGGTTATCACAGCAGATATTTTTATTACCTGCCTATATATCATTAGAAGTGACTCCAGCAAAATCCTGTTATAAATCCCTAAGGTACTACAAAACCAGTTCTAGGCATATCACTAAGACTACCCAAATAGTAAAGTTAATTCAGAGAAAAAACTGTATTTTTCTTGATTCCAGTACTTTGTGAAGAAAGAGAAAAATCCATATTGTTGTTAAAAGCAAAGCACAAGCATGTCTGTACACCTTCAAATATCATCTAAACCGAGTTAAACCTCTCCCTAAGAGAGGTGATTATTTAACAAAGAACCATCTTCTAAAATGCTTTAAATGTATCTCCATTTAGAAAAGCTTCATATAAACAGTGTTACCTTACTATATGCTAATCAGCCCTCTATGAACACATGCTCAGAACACGGACCATGCTAAACCTAAGTGGCTTTGACTACTAATACATGTCAAAGGGTGTGTTATATTATACGTCATGAACAGATTTTAGGCAGTCCAGATATTAAGAACAACTACTGTTAATTAATGACTGTTCCAGGAAGAGTACAGCCAGTCATTTAGACCTGAATTACCTAAAGCAGAGGTTTAATTTGTTTTCCTCCAAGCCATTATATGAAAGTTATACCAAATTGCTAGCCATGCATTAAACATTCCTTTAAAGCCTTATAACACTTCACACAAGATCTGAAAATTGTGTCCAGAACATGCCGTGAAGTCATTTTTTTTTTTTAAGATGTTATCCTGCTTTGGAAAATTCGCCCCTCTTGAGAAGTCTTTTGTCTGAAAACCAGCGAAGCAGTAGCTCTTCTGGCTCCTTCTCACTGTTCTTTTCTCCATGCCCCAGTTCATGACCACATCTCTGGGACCAGAGCAGTCCTAGTGCTAACAGAGTTTTGTATCCTGTCAAACCACAGGGATGCCATTTTCTGTAAAAAATTCATTTTACCTCTATCTGTAGCGTCAAGTTGAAGGATATCCACTCCACATGAGTTTTGAGTACAAATCATGAATTTCAAGAAAATTTAAATGCAATTACAGGCATTAAAATACATACTGGACTTGCAAGAAAATCACAAGTCCCCTTAGAGGGCAGCTACACGGAGTTCAACCAGGTAACGAAGAATTCTAGGCTTCAAATCCACTTTCTGTTCAGCAGCATTTAGCGCTAAGAACAGCCCTTGGGAGGACATTTAAAGGCAGTATATCCGTTACTGGTTCAGTAGGCAGTAGGTGACACCGGCTTGTGGCTAAGAGACTGGCCAAACTCTCCAGCTAGGTGATACTTCTGGTTCTGCAGCTGACTTCGTGTGTGACCTTGAGCAAATTGGTTAATACCTTCCTCGAGTTTCAAACTCCTTGTCCCAAGGAAATATTATTGACCTTCTGTTCTACCCAGTAAGTCCCCACAATAAAAATAATCCTTGGCAGTGATTTCCAAGCTTTTAAAGGAGAGTATGCATTCAGTAGGAAATATCCGTCAATTTGATAACTCTGTTCATAGCCATTTAACAAGAAAGATCAAAATTTGCCATAGAAGTTAATCCATGAAGATGTACTAAAATGATTCCTTCCAAAATTTTTGATGGAGGAAAAGTTGCTCCTAAATATTAAAGCTTATGATAATATATAGCCTCATGAATGTTAAATATTAATAAACAGTTCCATTTCCAAGGTCCATATTTTTTATCTCAGGATGACTCATAAAATTGTAATCAACCAAAAATATCTCCATTTACATCCCACTTTCATTTGTGTGGCACCGGCAAGCTGTTCCAATAGCTGTGGCTCATAGTGCTTCCAACTTCTGTCACGGATATAGCAAAAGCAAGACTAAAGGATATTTCTTGACTACAAAATATACATGCCAGGGCGAGGAAAAAGATTTCTATCACACACACTAAAACTTAAACGAGACTTAAAGCGCTTTTATGAAGCCTGCTACTTCCCTGAGAAGTGATTTACTGCTACGTTCAGATCGCACTTATTTGGACGAGAAATAGTTTAATTCTTTCAGGGTTTCCATACTAAAAGGAGATCTATTGATTTTCTATAGACGAGAGGTACATTTTTTACTATATTCCTTTCTTGGAATTGGTAAAGAAGGAAAAAAAAAATCACACTATCTAACTTAAATATTACAGAAATACATTTTCCCGACTTCTTCCCTTCCTGGGTTAATTGAATTTTAAGGGAAATATAAGTATTTTTAAGACATTCTCATAGGAATACCAAATATCTCAAATTATTAGAAAAGAGAAAACTACCTTTTACACGCGCAAGCAAAATATATGAAGTTTGTATAACAATATTCTTAAAGGGGGCCAAAACTCATTTTCCAATAACAGGACTAATATACTGAACAAAATACTGAACTAAACCTTAACTTAAACCTAATGTTTTCCAACAGAATCTTGAAGAGCTTTGCATCACTTAAGAAGACTTAGTACAAGCCTAAAAAAGTGACTTGCAGAGCAAATCGGTGAGAAATAAAAGAACCATCCAGTATTTGCAGTCCAGTTTTCTGACATAATCAGAGATCACAATGCACAAATTCAGCTCATATAAAGATGGCAGACATGAGCCGAAGACATATTTACAACAAAAGAAAAAAAGGAAAAAAAGGTTTTTTACATTGCAAAATGTAAAACAAACAAAAAAGTCAATGAATGTGTAGAAGTTATATAATTAAGAGATCTAAACTAATATGTGTTATATAATTAAGAGATCTAAACTAATGTTTTGGATTTTAGTTTTTTTTTTTTAATTTTATTAGAAGTGACAATGTTTTTTTTCAATTTTATGTCATGTTATGAAGAGTGTCACCTTTAAATATTAATCAGACATACTAAAGTATTTTTAGAATGGAGAGATATATTCAATTTTCCAAATCCTTCCTGTTAGCGTCCACTGCATGCAATGCATATTGTAATTTCAAAATATATCCACATTTTATCAAGCCTTTGCATATTTTTAAAAGTTCATTTGAATAAAAAACAGTGCCAGCATTCCCAACACATGGCCAAAAGCATCTTCTTTCAGTATAATGCTGCAGCAGGTGGAAATAGAGAATTCAATTAGTGATTGGCTAATTCTTATCTAATCTAATAAATATTTGTTTGAAGTGTTCTCTTAATGTAAAAAGACATGTGAGGTATGTTTCAGTATGTGGCTGTTCGTGCTGCGCAGGGGGGAAGGGTGGAAGGACACGAGGAAAAGGATTTCTGCAAGAATATTCATCTATGCAGACCTTTCATTGACACACCACCAATGGAATTCATTCTTCACCCCGTCAGGAATGTTGACCTTCACTGTCAGGATCTTCAGATTTTCCCCTCGGTTAATGGCCAGAATCTGAGTGCAAACATAAATGGCAGAGACAGATGACACACAAAATATCCAAAAGATAAACTTATCAACATTTCTGTACGTGCTTGCTTGACATTCTGGAGCAAATCACAATGGTGGTACAGTAAATCAGCTCACAAAGTACTAGCATACACAGATAGCATCCACAATTTAAACACAGATTAAATCATGCTGCACCAGAATATGGCATACATTTTCCCTGCAGTCTGCAATCCCAAGACCCAGTTTATCTTACATACAAGTCTGCATGAATTTAGTTGCCAAAATAACCTTATTTAATAACCCAAGTTAAAATACAAGAAATTAATGGAAAAGTGATTCCAATCATAACTAGAAATCACGTAGTGAGAAAGTTTTTTCTATGCTTGAGGCTTCGTTTTGCTTCCCAAGAGCAAATCCAAATTTAAAATTAATTATGAATCAGAACATGGAACACTATGGTAATCAGCTTAATTTGTAAGAGGATGAGTTCTTGATTTAAACGTAGCTGATAAACAGTTGAAAATATTGTATATACATATTTAAATTAATATTAATACTCCAGCCTTAAAATGCATGCACATATTTCTGGCACAGTCCTGTGGGTATAAATGCATATTCATGAGTTGAATACAAATCTGTTTGCACAAGTGTTATCTGTATAAAAAGTTCTATTTTAAACGGACATTTGTAACTATACATTGAAAACCAGGACCATGGTATAAACGGCAGATACTGAGAGTTCCCTATTAAATAATCCCACTATGAAGACAATGAACGTTCACCTGAGGCAGACCTGTATGTACTAAAAAAAATGGCTAATAAAGACACTAAGGGTTTTAAGAAAATAAAACATGTTAGAAACAGCTACAAATAAAATACAGCTTTTTAGATAGCATTTTTCTTTCCACAATTCTTTAAAGTGCAGAAACCATTAGAAAAATGCTAAAAGTTGATATTCCTGTATTACTACACATGTTGCTGTATGTAACAGGCCCTAAGCACTGTCACAACAGAGCATTCTGTGTCAATCATGAACTTTAATTCAATCACTAGCTAACTCAGACATGTCACATATGTTAAATACAATGGTTTAAAATGACTCCAGGACATCGTACCAATTTATATTCCTCAGCTTTACTGCTCTTGTGACATACCAGGCCTGACATATCATTGAACAACAAAGCTAATAATAAAAATTGCATGTGAAATATTATAGCATCAGGTACCTTCATTGCCAAAGCAAATGTTTTCATGTAGAGATTAGAAAGACATATTTTAACAAATCAAATGCTCCCATGTTTATTCTGATTTTATTAAAAAAAGAGCTAAATGTCAAACTAAAATGAAATCAAAATGATGCTCAGGAAAAAGAACGTATCTGATAGAATTATGTTGTCATCATTCACTACACTGTTAGTGGGGTCAATATTTGCATCACATTTTGTTTACAGGCAATGAATCTGCAGAATGTTGCATGCAGACAACCTTAGAACAGCTGTACTGCACCAGCAAATATTGTTAACACTTTTATTCTTAAACAGCCTCTCTATCCTGTTCTGAATTACTTGAATTGGTAAGAACTACAACCTAGGAAATACGCCACTGAAAAAATAAAAAAAATAAAAATAAATTAAAAAAAGCTAGTCCATTTCTCCTGAAGGCAGGCACTTTTTATTTAAGTAACATTGAAATGGACACAATGCAATCTCTTGGGTTCCCAGAAAGACTCTTCTTGAGCAACCCTGAAACAGATCCAGCTGAGGGCTAGCAAAAAAACAGTTGTTTAAAAAGAAAGCAAGAACAATAATTTGACCTATTTCACTTATGAAATCTTACTTTCACTTATCAAAAAAATTCATATTATACCACATATTTTTATGTTCCAGATTTGCTGAAAATCACTGAATAAGTTTTTCCATATTTTGCCACTTCAATTTCTTTGGTATTCTTAATCAGACTGAAAAGAGAGCCTCGAACAATACAGGTTATGAATACATCCTTTTCTTGCTACCAAGCCCATCTTCTCCAAATAGAGGAATGCCACTTTGTGGAGAGCACAAACGCTCTGCTGTTTATTACTGTTAGTCAGAAATTCCAATACACCGGCAAAAGGCCTTTTTCCCCCCCTTAGTTATAGCATATCTAAATGTAAATGGCACCTTTTATTAAGGCTGAACAACAGCACATGAAATGGCAGCTTCCTGGCACACCATTATACTTAGTTTAATATATACTGCAAGCACACTCATGGTTAAAAATATCTGGTCATAAAGATACTGTTTATTGTCTTGCACATAACAAATAAGTTTACTCCTATTGCCTTTAGTTACATATAAATGTGCAGCAGAATTGAAGTTGTATACAGACTTGTATCTTGTAAAAAGTCCTTGGCATAGCATGCAGAACTATCTTCTCTACACTACACACTAATAGTAAACATAATATAAACAATTTTTATCTATTAATAAAAAAGTACATGCGAAGCTTAATGAGCTCAGTAAATCTGTGACTTGAAAATCGGTGGTATAATATCAAAGTTGTATTTTTTGATAAATGGAATAAGATTTGATAAAGGCTCTCAGTGACCATTTTCAGTGTGGCATTTTATCTGTAAAAGTACATACAGTCCTTCCTGTGGAGGTTTGCAAAGAGGTGATTTTAAGATGCTTTCCACTCTCCCATCCAGCTAAATATATGAAGAATGCTCATCTATGAGCTGTCACCAAAGGAGTAGAAAACACCTTTAAAACAATCAGTTTTACAGACTGCACCCAAGCACATATTTTGCATATAGTCCTGAAGGGTTAGAGATTTTTGAAAACTCCTCCTCAAATTCATGACTTCTCTAGGAATCCTGTCCCAAAGCAGGATCAATACTTAACTTCTTAAACACTTTCCTCACAGCATCTCCAAACACACATACTTATGAGGCTTTTTGAATAAAGTGTTTTCACCTAAGACATTGAAGAAAAGTCTTAAGGTATTAAAAAGTAAGATTGTAATCCCAGAAAACAAAAGTGACAAACTGATCCTAGCAGGGTAGCAGTGTAATATTAGAATCTACGTTTAAGAAAGAAATAGCAAATAAAACACATTTTGCTTTCCTTATTTCAGCATCAAAAGCAAAAATAAAGAAAAAAGTTAACAAAAACAACCAAACGTCAAAGGTATAACATTTTGAGAATATTAGGTACCTAAATGGCAAACTGTACGTCAAAGACTATCACAAAACACATTTATTTCTTGGCTAACACAAAAGAGGTCCTGAAACTTCATCAAAGCACAACACTTGTGCTCCTTAGATTAGTAATTGAGAAGTGTTCAATATGGCAGAATAAGTAATAATAGTTACACACAGAAGATGAAGGACAACAAGTAAGAGTGCAGAAGACACCAAGTGATAACAGGACTACTTGGTGAAAACATAGTATTTTGCTGAATATCAGGAAGAGGAAAAGAAAGAGGCATTAAGTTTACCATCTAATAAAAAAACAAACGCGCTGAAATAAACACAGATTTTGAGTTAATCTTAACATCAAATAGACCAAATGAGGACATGTCCTGGGTGAGAAGCAGCAGAGCCACAGGATCAGGATCTGGTTTCTAGCCCTTGCTCTCCCTGATCAAGCCTCCCCTGTGCAAAACGGAAGCAGAATTCTGCTTTAGACGGAAGTGAACCATACTGTCACCGTCCCAGAAACTATTTGAACATCCAGTCTAATTCACTCACAACGCGCAGCTGTGGAGGCACCGGTCGCTCGCAGCGAGCCCGACGGCTTCATCCGTCACTGCTTTCCCTAGCCAGAGAGGTCTAGGCCTGCAGCTGGGGACAAACCCAAGATGTTTTACAGCAGCAGCATTGCTCAGCTGCTAAACATATCCCTGTTTGCACGAGCCAGTGCATGGGACATTCCTCAGAGCCTGTTCATTTGGGTTGGTTCTACAAGGAGGAGGGAGAGGGAAGCACATGTTTTATCACCCTATAGAAAACAAATCATACCAGTAAGGAAATCTCTGCTGCTGGCCAAACTGTTATATTTGTTTACTAAGAATCAGTTAGACAACAGACAAGCTGAGGGTACCCTACTCCATTTCTTAACACAATGCTTGGGTTTAGTCTTGTATTTCAAGAAACCAAAACTCTCTGTTATCTTTGGTAGCAGAAATGTAAAATCTAATCTTAGTAAAACCATTTTTAAATCAACAAAATTCAAAAACAGTCATCACTGCTACAGTTAAAATTGCAACAAATAACAACAATAATTTTGTAGGTGTACCTGATGATGCTGAATGCTCTTTATACTACAAGAAAACTCATGGTATAGTTGGAATTTATCGATATCTTTCTCATTTATATTTTTGGAGGATGCCTTTGCCAAGGCTGACTGGATACAGATGTATCTTTTCTGACATCTAAATACAAGAAGCAAAATGTTAAGGAGCTTTTGAACAAGAAAGAGGTGCTTAAATTAAGTATAAATGAAGTTTGTAGTCTGCACAGTTACATTAACTCTGTCATCACGCAGAAGCGAATTACGTACGTAATGCTGAGACTGAAATGACTGTACTGACGGGTACATACCAAGAAAAGAAGGCAGACTTCAGAAAATGCAGACCCAAGCCTTTTCATGAAAGGCAGGGTTACTGAAAAGCCAATATCTGCGCTTCAGTTTTGTCACTTGAAAATTTCACGTGTTAGGAAGTTGTAACAACAACAAAAAAAAAATTATAAAAGTAGCCCACATATAGAAGAGATGTTGCGTTTACAATATCTACCCAATGTCAGCAGATTTCCCTTATGGTTTGGTATTTTTCCCCTTGTAGATCACTTGTAACTGCACAAGACAGTCCCACCTGCAACAAGGCTATGGAGAATCCTGCACTCTTTGGGAATCGCAACATCTTGCGATGCTCACAGGTGGATTTCTCCACCGCAGACAGGCGGATCTCGAGCACAAATCAAGGAACAGGCACAATACAAGAGTAAAACCATTTTCATGTTACTAGAAAACAGCAAATTGTCTATCTGCACACTAGCAGACCGACTTTTATCCCACAATTTGAAAAGTTGAGAAAGTAAATCCAAGCTTACAATTTCCTGATGAAATCCAGTGTATCTTTATCCTTTGCAAACATGTCAGCTAAAATATGTTGTACTCCAGCTTCTACTTCCTGGATGGTTGAAAGTCCTTAAAGGAAAAAATGTTTGGTAACTATAAGAAGGCTAAAATGACAAAGTACTTTACAGAATTGCATAAGCACAAAAGAAATATATACAAGCTGAAAGAAAATCAACAAAAGATGTTTGACTCATTTGCAGGACTGTCATAGGATTGTGCCCTACACTATTTTTCACTCTGCTTTCTCCAAGACTGGATAATGCCTTGCAAGAGGCTCTGAAGAAACCGCAGAGCTCTGACAACTACTAGTTTTCTGGAATTCACAGATTCTAGTCACTCTGAGCCAAAAGCCCTGTATTCCATTCTTAGGTTAGGTCATACGAAAAAAAATCCCATATTTGTCTTTTCTAGATGATTCATTATTTTTCACATACCTTTAAAATAGTCTCTCATTCCATACCTGCCTCCCCACAGTGTTTTGAAAATACCTATTATCATTACTTCAGAACCCCATGTTGTTGATATTTGTCCTTTCAGTGTACTGGAAGCCAAAGGCATGTAACTTGGATAGACTATTCGCATATTTAGATAATTGGGAGATTACCTACTTAGGTAAATTCATTGTTTTAAGTTTTTACACATCTTATCTCTGTTGATCTTGAAGGCTAGAAGGTTATTCTGGCAACCATCCTTTGATTATAGCAACATATTCCCATCATAGGTAAATAGGTAGAGAGCTTATGTGAAGCCAAGTTTGTAGGGTTCAAAACCCTGCTCCTTACAAGGCTATAGAGTTGCAAACTACATTAATTTCTTCTTGCCTTTTCTCTTCAAAAGGGGAAGCTAAACTTACCTACCAGAAAGAATAGTAAAAATATGAGAAGAAGATTTAAAAATGTACTAAGTGCCTGACAAGATCAAAAGTTGTGGAATTTGTCTCCTCACCTCCACAGGTTAATGTTTTGTATGGTAACAGTAACATCAGAGCAGAACATAAAGCAGAGAAAATAAGGATTATAAAGCATGAATTATATTGAATATTAATTATTATGAAGCATTCAGATACCTCGGTAAGTACTAGAAATGTATGTGATGAAACAGTCTTTATTAATTCTAGCACAAAAGTTCAACGGATACCACAGGATGAAGCTAATGAGGATTAAAGAAATAATCCGAAAGCTCCCACTGAACAACACAACTCACAAGGGTACTTAAGTAGCGTCCATCGTAAAGAGTACATGATTGCATAATTAAAGTAATACTGAAATATGGAACGCATACAAATATAAGAATGAAGTAAGCCTGTTTTAATAACTTTCAAATACATGACTGAAACATGACCTGTTGCTTTTATTTAAAAATATTTTTAGTAGAAGCTTAAAAGCACAAAAAAAATTAGAAGAACTGAATATTAATAACCAAATGAAAACTTTTCTGCACAACAACAAACTGATCCTTTTGACCTCAACAAAGATTCTCTCAGATTAAGCTGCACATAGGCTGTCAAACTGACTCCCAAGCTGATAAAAGTGACCCAGTTCCTATGTGTATTCAATTTCTTATGCACCCTTCAAACAAAAAGACATTATATAAACCCAAGTTGCACTATTTTCAGTACAAAGCTGAAAATAGGTGCAACCAATTTCAAAAATTGAAATGTTTATGCTGCAAGAAATAGCAGTCCCTTCTGAATACCTACTAAATGATTCTCTTAAGACTTTGCCAGAACAGTCAGCTCTGTGGTTACAACATGCTGCTTTACAGAATAGTGACATATTCTAAAGTATAATAACTACATGATCAGAAAATGTATAAAATGATTTTCAATGCCAAGGTAGGGTCACTTTATAAAGAATATATAAGGAAAAGGGCAATTTAGGCTGGAAGTCAGGTTCAGCACATGTATGGAAACATTCAAAAGGTAAAACTATAGGGAAGGAAAGGGGAAAAAAAAAATCTCTATTTTAGTACCATACAGAAGGCTGTAACAAGGTTGATTTTTTTGTCAGAGATTGCCCCCTACAGATTCACCCATAACTGCATTCACAAGGAAACAGGATTCTGCAGTCTAGATATGCCACAATCACATAGTTTAAGTTCCTGCTCAAATTTCAGAGATTATATTTTCTGCAACTGTTACTGTCATCCAAAAGGAAAAACTCTCCTACTGCCTTCTCAGCCACTAGGGCTAATTTTCATTAAGATCTTCTTTGATGGGTGACAGTTTCCTTCAATACAGAATGAACATAGGCTCTTTATAAAATCCTTGTCAAATCATCAGTTAATCATTCAAATGGAAGGTGTGCAGGGCAGTTCTCTCTTTCCTACAACCAAATACAGACTTGAACTATCCTCTAGTGTCTCCAGGCTTCTTTGTAATGTATAGCACAATTGCAACTATTTGAATATAAAAGACAGAAAGCAAAGGAGAATTATGACTCTAAATTCAAACACTACTGCGTCTTGCTGAAATATCTGTGGAATTTAAAACAGTTGTATAACTTCCAGCAACTTACGTGCAACTAAAAACTTTTAAAACCACTTTGAGGCATTTAAGACATTACTGATCAGGGAAGCAGAGTGCTTACCTTTGATATTGGGCTTAATGTAAGAAAAGAGATTGAGTTCCACAGGATTCTGCAGGAGAGAGAGAGCAGCAGGTTCTAATCCCAGCTGCTTTGCTCTCTGGGCTTTCGTGCCTTTACTTCCAGTTTTATAAGGTGCAGACTTAAAATAAAGGAAAACCTTGTTATTATAAGGCAGAGAAATATCCCAGTCATGTATATACTTTTTATTATGCATTATTTAATTGTTCAAGATTGCATTTAACTGCAAAATGATCTAAAAATATTAATACACTGACCACGTGGTCTAATTCTTCCAAAGTCCTGCAGTTTAGTAATGCTGTTGACAGTCCTCCTGATAGTTTTCCTTCTTTCTTTAGCTTTTGCATCACTCCATGTGTCTTCTTTGCAACAGTACTAAAACACAAGAGATGATATTAATAACCATATTTCACGATGGACATAAAGCACTATTTGCTGCCACTCTGCCTCTTACACTGCTGAAGTAGTGTAGCTGCTCTCTGAAACCCCTGCAGAGTAAACTGTGTGTTAATCTGCAACAAAATGACTGTGACAATCCAAGAAAACTCCTATTTCTCTCCTACTTTAAGTAGTTCAAAACAATACCAAAATATCTTGTGGTAGGTTTAAGAAAGATGAACAAATAAGGGTGGGAATTATTCCTGCTACATATATATATATATATTACATATATTTACATACACACACACACATATATATATTTGCACAAGATGACTAGCTTAAAAGCCAAACAAAAAGGCTCTAAGTTAAGTGCTCATCAACATGCACTTACAGCTGTAACTCACAGCAAGGTAGTTCTGCAGCCTCTAGCACAAGGTACCAGATTTTAAACTCTTAGACCTTCCATAGGATGTGTATGACAGTACCCAAAAACAGCAGATAGTGTAAGCATTTTGTGATCAAATCAATTACTTTTCAGGACAAGAACTATCTCAGGCCACATTCCCTCTCTGGAAAAAGTCCCCTGCTAAGGGGTATTCCTGGATTAAAAAGGGGGAGACACAGTGTTGATAGAACAGCTGACAATTCTCCTCCCTTATCATCTTAAGGGCACGGAGCCGCCCTGCACCAGGCTTCATAGGCTACTTCTTTGTTGTTGCAGTTTTAAAATTTGTGCTGTACAGTCCCTTTATAAGTGTAGCATGTACAAAATGCCATAACCCAGGAGCAAACACAGAAGCAGCAGTTGGCCGATACCTCCCTCCTCTTTTCCCTCTTTCCAGCCCCTTTCCTGTATCAGCTCACTCACCGTAGCTCTTCCAGTGTCTGCTGTATTTCTCTCAAGGCATCAGCCTCCAGGTTATTGATAAGCTCTTTTCGATAACGAGCGATAAAAGGAATCGTGTTTTCTTCTTGAAAGAGGCGAATTAAGTTTGCACACACCCACGGTTCAGCGCTTGTCCTTTCTGACAAGGCCTGCCACAAGGAAACGAACCAGTTAGGAAAGGAGTTAGACTTCAGGTGCAAAACCAACCCCAGGAGAACAGGCTGACCAGCAGGGACTGCTGCTCTCGGGCAGGATGCTGGGCATCCTGTGCATTGCCAGGCATCCTGCCACCACTGCTAGTACTTTCAAGACACACAGCAACCAATGCTTCCAGAACCCTGTGACCAAGAAAGAAAATTCAGAAAGGAAGGCCTCTTGGGATCAGGGCAACCCAATCACAGCCAAAGTATTCAGTTTAAATATTTAAGTTGATTATCTTCTTTCTGATTTTTTTTTTTAATTCTGTCAAGAGAAACTGCCAACAACTTAAAACTTGGATTAAAAAAGTCAATAATTAGAAACTATAACAATGCTACCAAGCACTTCACCATGAATCAAGCTTCATGAAATTAAACATGATTTTGTACAAATAGGGCTTTTAATGATATAGTTATAGCATATGTAAAAAGGAAATGAGGATAAATGCAAATATAGCTGTTTATGTCATCTTAAGAACATTTTAAGTATTCTGAGCTGTTTGTTCTTCACAGTCGTTACAGACAACTGATTTAAAAGCCTTTAAAAAGTTTTACTCTGAAGCATAAAAATATAACAACCCCTGCAGAGTCATATTCACTCTATTTAGAACAGCAATATATTTATGGTTATAAAACGTATACTTCTCCATACTAATCTACAGAGCTAATTCTAGCTAGTAGCATACGGCACACAAACAAGTTTCACTGTAGCAATCTAAAAGATCAAATTCTCCATCTGCACTTCCAAGAATATTATAGAAGACTCACAAACAGTATTTTATGCCCATCCTAAGCACAGCAGCAAGTATAACAGGATGTACCCAATCTATTCCCCATTCTATTCGTATCAAAACGCTCCGTAGCCACATTCAGCCTCCCAGAGCAAACCCTATTCTAGGGCTGTCTTCATTTGAAAGGCTGCAAAGTTAACAGCCCACGGAAAAACATCTCTTCCTCATATCAATGTTGTTCCAAGAATCTGCACAGCCTCTCCTTGCTGATGGTGCTGTAGATTGATACACGCTCTCAAATGTGCCTCCACAACCTAATGTACTAACCACTGAATCCTACCGTTAGTTTAATGATTACACACTAGCCAAATCCTAAATTCTGGAAATTATGCACAGCGGCATCCCAAATCTATTGGCATTTATTCCTGGAGGATTTTCAGCTGACCATACCATCCAAAAGAAACATGTCATGGTACAGAAGAAATATACAATAAAAAACAGGCAAGCTTTGTACTACGGACTCCATAGTACAGTAAGTCAGGGATATTAAAATTGTGTTCAAGTTTTAACCTGTGACACCTGCCAACCCAACATTTATGTTTATCAAGACAGTTTTTGTAGAGGTTAAATGACTATTTAATAGCCAAGAGGCTCACTGAACTCAGGAAGACTCAAACTGTATCTTAGATTTCAAGTGCTAACTGCATAAGGAAATGCTTTCACTAATACCTAAGTGAAAAGAAAGAGACTGAGATACCTGTACAATGTCCCAGTTCATTTCAAATTCTTCTTTTACTCTGTTGCCTCCTGCATGTTTCACTGGCTTTCCTTCGGGACATGCAGCTGACTTTATCTTTTTAGAAGGTGGTTCATCAAATGTAAAATCTTCCTCAAGTTGTTCATGTTTCACTTGCTTTTCCACCACAGGAACACTTGTTGAGGGTTTTTCATCACTCTCTAGGTTGTTTAAATTCTTCCCTTGGAATGATTTTAATTGTGTTTTAGGCGCTTCTGATTTTTTATTTAAAGTTTTGAGATTAGTGCCTACATCTTCTTCCTTAAGCTTCGAAAGTTGCGCTCCACCTCCACTAACTTCTGGAGGAGCAATAGGCAAGGATACATCCTGGAGAGAGAGGGGGAAAAAAAAAAAAATATATAACCCTGAGACTGTGTGGAGCATTGACTCTAAAAAACTGGTTCAATAGCATTTCAACTAAATCCATGTAAGACTTGACACTGGACATAATTTTCCCAAGTGCCTCTTCCTTGCAAGAAAATGTCAAGGGAGAAAAGGTAACTTTTTTCAAAATTATATCTTATATTCGTCATCATAAACTGCTATCCTCATAGCGTCAAACAGCCATGCAAGGAAACATACACGTAAGGCTTGTTTTGACCCAGCTGGTCAAAGACACAACTTTGAAACCAGAAACATTCGTGTGATTAGTTTTCTTTGCGGGAAGAACACTTTTCCACACTTACTGCTGTTCAATGAGATCTTCAGGGAAAACTATGTCAATAATCACTAAGCAAAGTTTTAAAATAAGTGCCCTCAGATCTGAGTCACTTAAATACTCAGGAAAGATAAGTTTATCAGACACACCACCCATTTACTGCATGGAGTCAGACAAGCTGATGACTCAGACTCAAGAAACCAACTGAATCAGGGTTAGAAAAGTTTTGCTTATATTCTACTTGCAGTGCACAGTAATTGTGTGTCTCTTGCTTATGAATGACACTCACCAATTCCTCTTTTATTGCCATCTTCTTGACCTTATTCCTGGCCACAGTTGACTTTGGAACAGCAGCTTTCTTAGGTTTTGGCTCATGTTTCTTTGGCAACCGAGGCTTCTTGGCAATTTTGCTTTTTGGCTCCCATTCTTCCTCTTCCTCCTCTGATTCAGAGCTCCTGAAAACAAATGAATAAACAGCATGGCTTGTGAGAAGTGTGTAAACAAGCTAGTCCAGATTATTCCTGGTGTAAGAGGAAGCACACAGGACAGAGATGCAAAAAGGCAGGCAGACTCAATAAACACAGGTCTTTCATGCCATGGCAGCACTAATGCCTAGAACAAATTACCAAGCTTTCTCGAGGTGGGCCAGCAGGATGGGTACACACTTGATTCTGCTGGAACACCTGGCAGTTCAGTTGCACATCATCTTCACTGTGAGCATGAAACAGCAAAGATAATTTTTATCTTACAATTTAAGAGAAGTTGTATTCTAACCTTTTCTTTATCAGCCTCTCAGAAACTGAGTTTTTTTTTCATTAAACTGCAATCATTCTGCTTTGCACGAACCATTGAAAAAACGTTTGTACTATACATGCACACCAAAAAAATGACTAAGAAATCTTACGAATTAAGAAATGAAGATAATTCATCATCTTCTGATATAAGTGGTTTGGCTTCAGATTTCACCCTCCTTGGTAGAGATGACATCTGAAAGAGTAAAGAAGGAAACAGAACATTTGGTTTAAGATGTTGAATGTCTTATTTAGCATTTTAACTCACTATCAAGCATACCCACATCATCTTCACCAATCACAAAAATTTCTTCCAGAAAGTTTTTTCTCTGTTTTTCTATTTAAGAAATAGGTATCTAAGAAAATAATACCAAGATAATATTAAAATAGTGTCTAAGAATTTAAGCCCCATTCAGCAGCCTTCTCAGCTTTGCCAACAGACAAACCAGTACCACTTTTAAATTATTTTCTTCCTCAAACAGAAGTGTTTTCTTGCACATACAACCACCTCAAGTACTGCTTCTCAGATATATTATTAGGAATCACCTACATACATACATCAAGGTCCTTCCTCCATCAACCTACTAAGAAGCAACGAAAATTAAAATTCCAGAATGTGAGCTAGCAGATGGTTTCAATGTGGACAGGATTGCAGGAAGATTGGTCCACACTGATCTATAATTCTATCGCTAAGGACTGTATGTTGCTTGTATTCATAATAAATGCAATGATTTTAAGAGAACTATTCATTAATGTACTCAATGTGCCATAGAAACAAATACAATGTTCTTCACAGCAGGAGGAAAAAAAAAAGAGGAGTCTGGTAATTTAGTAATTAATTTATCAAGATCTCTCTGTATATCACTCTACAAAAACATTCAAGAAGTTTCCATGAAGACCATGACCAGCTTTGTTCACTTGTGTACTTCTGGTTTCTAAATCCCTCCTTTGGGCCTTACCCACCACATTAAAATATTTTGGCTTATCCCAAGTCAAAAACAAAGCTACAAAGACACTTACTTATAGGAACATACTTCTCCTGCCAAATGGAAGTCACTGACCTTCTCTGGGCTTGAGATTCATATCTACAGTAGTTGTGTTTTAGTTAATCAGTTATATAATTTTTGGCCATGGTTGGTGCCAACAATTTAAAGTCCCTGGTACAATTCATTCCTTTTCCTCTACTCTCCAGGCCTCATACCCAACTTTTAGCTCCTTGATCCTCAAGTCAGCACTGTTACAGTAGATACAAGCCTTTAAGTCCCACATTTGGACGTACAAACTCAACAAGCTGCTTTGCAGAGTGCCCTTTAACTCACGGGCAAAGGGCCCTTTAACTCAAGTTCAAGCACTAGAAAGGATTGTTACAAATGACTTTCAGCAGGTTTTCCTTTCCAGATAGCACCAGAAATTATTTAAGTAACAGTTTTTAACACCACAGTGGAAGGGGTACAATCAACCAGCACTAGCTATTAGCTTGCTTGCAAAATGCTTTCTTCTGGCAAACATCATGGTCAGAAGCAGGGCAGTTCTCCAGTGCTGTTCCAATGACTGAAATACCGTTATGTGAATGATTAGAAAATGAGTTCAACACCCGAAACTAGAAATTGCCAGAAAACACAAGAAGCTTTACTTACCTTATTAGCTTTCCCAGTAACTTTTCTTTTTCACTCTCAGTTCAGAGACACCTGCAACTTCACACAGCCACTCTGATGTTTTCCTTTGCTTCTTACAGCAGAACAGTCATCATAACCCTGAATTAATTAGATATTTATTCCTGTTACCTCACAGAGAGGAAAATAATGTTTTCAATTCTCTGATCTTTTTTGTAGGCACTAGAACATCTTTCACATGGTCAAGTCCCACAGTTCTCTCCATTTCTGAGCTAGGCATTTAGTGTAAAATATCTTTACCATGCATCTTTAGCTAATCTAAATGATTTTGTTTAACACGACAGGCAATTTGGGGAGCTAGCAATGAGTATTTAAGCACTCTGATCAGCTTCTTTTCTTTGCTAAATCAAAGCAAAAAAAAAAAAAACAGGTAAAGGGAAAGCCTCATCCTGAAGTTTATTTTCTTTTCCCTGCTAATATTTCCCTCTCACCTAAGGAGGCTAATGGCAGATTCCCAAATATCTCGATATCCGTGTTGTTATTTTAAATAGCAATAATTAGAGCAAGATTCAATTATGAAGTTTATTCTACTTCCTTCAGTCTGACACTGATGACTGATTTAACCCCTTGCATCAGCATAAGAATATAAGATGTGCTAAATTTTCCTTCTAAGCCTCCTGCACTGGAGTGTGCAAACACCTACAGCTAATGACTAAGAAAAACATTTCTTCTGTGATTCAGTGTAAGGAGGCAGGGAAGAGGATGAAAAAGCAGCAAGCCTAAATGCCACTGATGATGCTATATAAATATCACAGAATATGAATATTTTTTGAAGTTAAAGTCATCTGAAGGAAGGTAGGAAGAATCAAGTAACAGACCAATGCAGACATCCTTCACATGGGGCATCTAGCAGGTCAGCTGCACTGGCTACATGGCAAAGTAATCTACAAGTTACTGCCTGCACGATGTGTGGCTTGGGCTGGGACGTGGTTTGGTCCCCTGTGCCTTGCAGGGGGGATCTTTCGGGAGGAGGGGAAAAAGAGGTGTCCCCACCTCACATGTTTAGTGGGCTACAAACAGCTCTTACAGCCTTCCCCAGCACAGGCATCAGGACAAGGCGAAGCTGGCCACTTAGCTCCCACTATATTTTCAAGTTAGACTGGCTTAAATGACAAAACTGGCTTTACCACTTCCTTTTCTGTACCCTCCAGGTAACGATTCTGAATCAACTGAAGGGCTATAAGCTTAGTTTTATATCCTGAGGAAAGAAACTATGGATGGCACAGATTTGCCTCTCTCTCCCAAATGCAGACAACTGCCACAGCTGTAGTAGAGCCAATTACAAAACCAACTGCTTCTTAAGGAAACGTAGAGCTACCTATTTCAACCCAAGAGAAGTCAGAACAATTTTTTTCTGCCTCCTGTGTGTTCAGCACTGATGTACCTTATGGCAGATGCTTCAAGTGTCTGGGTTACTGGAGACTCCTGTAGCAGTTGAAGGAAGACAACAGGCAGCTTCCAGTGAGTTATCTAACCACGCTGTGTAGCATTCCGTGGGCTTGGCAGCTGGAAGACTGAACCCCTATAGCTCTGTTCTAGCAGCTCTCCTAGTATCTGAAGCCAAGAAACTTCCAAAGGAGGTTTGCAAAAGTTATTTTTCTTCCTTTTTTTTTTTGTCTATTGTCAGAAACTTGGCAGTAATCAAAATATGCTGTTCCTCGAGAAGAGAGTTATTAACAAACATCTTAACAGCACTATCTAACTTCTGTGCCAGACAGTTGGACTTGGGAGTTGAAAACTGCAGCCTCTCACAAACATTTTAGCTCTCGACTCCTTTTCATTTCAGATCTGTCGAGATAGTGCATTTTGCCTCTGTGCAAAAGGCTGAAACTCTAATTGAGAGCCTTCATACCAGACCCTTTGCCATATTCAGGCAAATCAAAACTCTTCTGTCTGCCCTTCTTCCAAAGGATGGCTGCCAGCTTGAAGCATCGCCACCAGAAATGCCTGGGCAGTCACTAAAGGCTTGCTTCTCCCAAAGCAAAAGAGCTCAAGCATGTCCTTCGAAAGGACTCCCCGATTTAAAAAGGAAGACGACCTCTCAGACTTGGCATGATGACTTATCTGCTACTGTAGACAAACATTCTCTCCACCCAATGAAGTACAAGACGTTGCAGTGATCCTGATGGCTGCACACAGTGCACTTTTCCCTGTCTGGCAACTCCTTGTGGAAATAGGCTAATGCAGTGTGGTGTTGGGCCACACGAAGGATAAAGATCCCTCTTCTTCCAAACAGGAATTCTAGGCAGTGTGTAGACTGCAAGTAGCATTAGGCTTTAAAAGACTCACTACGTTAAGCAGCCACTCGAGTTTCATTTAGGGGCATTTAAAGGCTGATATTCTCTTCATCCTCTCTAATCACGCAAAGATACAACCCATTAAAAGCAAATTGGGTCAGATGTGAATCCAAGTGCCATCAGCAATCACTCACAAAAGGAAAATAAGTTTCTACAGTCTTATTTTAAAAATAAGCACCCAAGGGAGGAAAAAAAAGAAGTTTCTTCCCCCCATCCAGTCTTCCCTACAACCAAGAAAACGCAGTGTTATCATTAGACTGTTTTGTAACTAAACCATTAGAGCAACAATTTTCAAAACCAGAAATTGCTCCAGTAATCTTAACAGACTGCCATATCTTTTACAATGTATTCTAGAAAATAAGATTATATTTTAAAAAGTTAAAGAATATATTATACTTTTGCAACATAACTAAGTGATGCCTCTATGGTTAATGTAAATCTCAAAACTGTACTACACAGCTCACACAATTTCCTCATAAATAATAAAAGGAAACACAGATCTAAGTATCAATTTGACTGAATTACAATTCAGACAGCTGTTGTTTCTCTTTGCTGAAGGCACAGCATGAAAAAACAACCGCACACATACACTTAGAAATTTATTTAATTTCAGTACCTACGGGAGAGGGGAAAAAAAACTAAAAACAAGAATCTCTCTAGCAGGAAAGGGCAGGAAAACCTTTAAAGCCCTTTTTGAATTAATACAAAGTAATGTGTTTCTTCTGTGTCTCTGTAGGAAGCTCCTGCATCTTTGCTCTGGGTGTTCTGCTTTTATAAACTGAAGCAAGGATAACAAATTTTTGCACTTGGGCCTTTTCTTAAATCACGTATCTGCTTTAAGTCACGTTGAAGCCAAATAACCATTTATAAGAACACCAAGTGTCCAGGGCAGGGAAAAAAAAAAGAAAAAAAAGCACTACGCATCTCACCATTTTGGTATGAATTTTAGTATGTTGTTAGTAGCAGCCGAATGGCCCACTTGGATCTGTTGAAAGCTTATATATTATTATTCATTTTCTTTGCCATTTTAAGGTATTATAAGATTATAAGGAAAAATCACAGTGTGAGTGAACAGGAAATGACAGCTGAAATTGATTTACTATTTCAGACAGTTTTTAATCACTTGTAACAAATCCACTGAACTTTAAAATATAATTCCAACTTACTGGAATCCTTTTGAGGTTGAAGTGATGGAGAGTTCCCATAAAGTTTTGCTCAGAAAACCTGGCGCGACAGATTTCCAAGGACTTTTCCTGCACAAAACCAGTCAGGGCTGCCTGGGAAAGGAGTCACAAGCAAAATCAGAAGCCTGCAGAGCAATGTGGAAAACTGCAGTCAGAAAGGGAGAGGCAGAGAGGGTGCGTACCCAGGGAAGCAGCATCTAGTGCTAATCAAGAACAAAAAGGTCTGTGATCATTAGGAGATATTACAAGGCAACACCAAAAAGACAACCGCTATTACAGCTTTAGAAAACACTGTATTCTTAATCCATTCCAGTAAAAGGCACTGCCCTTGAGGAAAGGAACCTGCATTCGGCAGCAGTCTATCACTGCAGCCCTCCCGGCCCTGCCCGGGCTCGCTCTGCCCTCAGGGCCGCCACGACGCGTCCCCTCCGCGCGGGGACAGCCCCTGCCCCGCAGCAGCGCCCACGGCGGGCTGGGAACGAGGGCAGCGGGGGCCACACGGCTCGCTGCGGGGTGAGACACGGGCCCCATCGCTCCGTGCTGGCCCGGGGCACAACGCGGAGGCGCCGCACGAGCCCCGCAGCGGCGCGCGGTGCCGGGGCGGCCCCC